ATAGAAATAGAGAAAGATTGAAAGGATACGAAAGAGGCAGAACACAACACGTTGGAGCGTTTCATTAAAAAAAAAAAAAAACAAAAAAAAAACAAAAAAAAATTGTTCGTTGTAATAAACTTCTAGAGAAATGGTATACATTATTGAAGCGAGTGAGAACAAGAGAGAAAGGAAAAAACGAAGAATTCTAAACGATTATACTTCTATGTGCATATATACATGTACAGGGTGTCTCACTTATAATAAACATTTAAATTATTTTCTATGGTATTGAAAGTAAGAAAAGATGACCAAGAGGATTTTACATGGTTGATGACTTGCCTCTGGTGATGATGAAAAATGACTCTCTCCCAGTGTCATGTTTTTTCTAATGGCATAAAGACGAATTCTGACCTTAAAATGAGCTGAAACGGTGAAAAAAGATGTGCATGAGAATCTTGGGAGGACCTTTTTTTTGTCATCAAACGATATAAACTCCTCTTACTCGTTTCTTCTTACTTGGAATAGCAGCAGAAAATAATTTACACGCTCATTATAAGCAAAAAACCCTGTACATGTAGATTGGTATATACATATGTATGTATACATAGTACGAAAAAAAAGAAAGGAAATTATTAGTACAGTGTGTAACTGGTAATTAAGCGAAAGATGTGAATGTAAGAATGTCGTGACCGTGAATTTGTAAAGTTGGATGCGAGCAAAAGAGGGAAAAAATCAGTGACAAACGAGAGAAAGGGGAAAAAAAGAAATGAACATAGACACCCGTCGACTCTGATCGATCTTATCGTACTCAGCACAGTACGAGGCACATTTGTATTGTAATATAATATATATACATATATATATACACATATATATACACATATATATATGTATATATATATTGTATAAGTATATATATATAATAGAAAGTATATTATATATTTGAGTAAACTCGTCGAGAATTGGTGTTATCCACGGCACGGGCGCACCACGGGATGGGAAAGAGGGAGAATCGTCTTCTTTTTATTTTTGCATCGTTCCTCTAATTCTTTCGTTTACTTTCATTTCTCCTCTCTTCGGTCGCTTCGTTTTTCTTTTCTCTTTCTTTAAGTTCGATTTAAACTTACGTATATAAATATACACAGACAGGCTCAGGAAAAACTGGAGGGAGGAAATATATAATTAACCATTAAGAGGTCCATTTTGGAGAAGCAGCAAGAGAGAGTATCGACTGTCCTGGATAAAGCCAACGCTCGTTTACTCATAACTTATTATGTACATCGTCTGAAGGAACCGGTACGTTCGTAAAAAGAAAAATAAACATAAGTATGTATCAGTCGGTTTCGTTCATTTCCTATTGCCCTCCAAATCATCTCGTCGCACTCGTTCGAACACGGCGTATACGCCTAGCTTTGATCGATTTCACCGTTCAAGGATACACTGAGAAATATCATTGACGAATTCACGAAGTTGCGTCGTGTTGTGCTGAGGTCGCGTATTTCAGAATGAGTCCAATGTCCTGTGTAACAATTCCCAGAAGGCACGATCCATTTGTGTATAGTCGGCGACCTGCGTTTCCTTTGAGGCAATAGGCGGCTATTTGTATTCGAAGATTTTAGCAATTGTAAATAATAATAAAAAAAACAGTGGAAAAGATGGTAGTTCTTGGAATACGGTGACTCGTTTGTTAATGTAGCATTTTTTTTTTTTTTTGGGAAACGAAGTACAAAACAGACACCGTCGATAATTTCTTTTCGTTCTGCTTGAAAGTGAAGTGGTACAGAAGAGCTTTCTTGGAGAACTTCGTACACGAAGTAAGTACAATTAATGTAAATACCTTCAGATATCGATGAGATACTATTATACAACTGCGTTGAAGATTTGCTATTCCATAATGTTGCTGTTCGATCGGTTAATTTATTGGAAAAGAAAATAAAAATTAGCGGAGGAATAAAAAAAGAAACATATCAAACATATATTTACTTTTATATTTACTTTGAATGTGTAGAATTATTTGTATTGTATTCTTTTTGAACAGAGAAGAGGCTACCTTTAAGTTGCGTTCTGTTGCATGGTTATTAATTGTTGAATATTATTTTAGGGTTTAATATGAAAAATGCTGTAAGGTTCACGAGTGAAAGTTGTACATTTATACGTGAATTGAATCGCATTGGTTACCAGTGACACTAAAAAGAACAATTGTACGAGTACAATAAATTAAGGATACGATAAAGTATGATCATTTATACTAACATCTTTTACATTTTTTAATCGATACATTTCTTGTTAGATTTTTAGATCCTCCGATTCTTCGTTCCTCCATCGGACACACCTGTAATACCATCCATATGTAAATAAAAAAATAAAGGGTTTAATAATTTATCAAGTTGCTCACGTTCTTGGAATATCCTTGATGTAGTGGAATTCGTTAATGTGCTTCGTTAAATCTTCACTTCTACATTTTTCCCTCCATACTTTTGTAGTGTTCAATAACGTGGAATAGTCTCGAGTTTCTGCCAGTTCCACCCTTTTCATGTCCACCGTTTCGCTTTTGCTTCTATTCTTTTTGCGAGAAATTAAGTCTTTTCTTTTTTGGGTGAATTCTTCGTCCTGTTTCCTGAAAAAAATTCTTTCCCTTGTAATTCAAATCTTTTTATTTACTATATTGAATTTATTAATAATTTTACCTAAATGCTTTAAGCAAAGTTGCGTCATATTTATACTTTTCTCTTAAATGTTCATTTTGTTCTTTCAAAGTATTTTCCAAAGATTTCTTCTTCTTGTATTCTTCCAAAGCTTTTTGAATCTTTTCTCGACGTACTTTCTTTCTGTTTTCCTCTATTTCTTTTTTTAGTTTCATCTGCATTTTTACTTGTTCTTCGTCCATCGAATGTTTGTTCTCTTTCTCCATCTTCCATTTTTTAATCAATTCTTTTTTTTCGCTTTTATTCGAATCAGCGCTGCTATTAGTGCTTCTACTTTCTGCTCTAGACGTTTTTGACTTTTTAAGAATGTCTATTTTCTTTTCTTCCTCAATTTCAATTGGACAATCTTCTTCGTGACAATTCTCTACCTCTTTGTCCATTTCATCGATATTTTTCTTTTTCTCTAATTCTTTCAGTTGACGCCATTCCTTTACCGCTGCCTTTTGTTTTTCACGCAGACTTTGATAGTGTTTGTACCACGTTTCATGATTTATTATAGTTTCAGCAGATAAATCTGGACACTTTTGCTGAATTA